AAAATAATAATAATTTCAAGTTTCTACTGAAAACAAAACTTTATATTTTTTAAAAGTGTCCGCTTTTCGGACACTTTTAAAAATTTGTCCCTAAAAGCGGACAGTTCCAAATTAAATGAAAAGCAAAGATAAATTGATTAATTCAATATTTTCGTTTTTTTTGTTAAAATATACTCATGATAATAATACAAGCAGAAAAAATAAGAAAAAAAAATAAAAAAACATATGCAAGCTTAAGCCTGAAATAAAAATAAAAAAGTTATAAGTTAGATTCTGCAACCTGTCGTGCAAAATAATTTTTCGCCTTTTATATATCTTTTTGAGAGACAAGGTTCACAAAGCCACGAACTGCAACTTGATTTTTCACAAGTTTTCCATAAAACTTGCATATCTGGCTTTTCATTTTTAAAAACTTTGGGCACGTTTTGCACTTTTTTTACTTTATTTTGACTTTCTTGGCGGGAATTTCTACTTCTACTGCTGCAAAATCAACATATGTTCGTTTTAATAGCTTCGCGTCTTCTTCTCTTAACTTGTTTAACCATGCTTCTTCTGTAAAAGGTTGACCAGCCACTGTTATAACATTTTTTGCTTTTTTTGCTGGATGTTTGGAGGCATTTTGGAGTTGAAATTGTTTCAAGAGTGCCCTTTTAAGACTGATTTTCAGACGAGTCACAAATTCTTCTTGAAAAGTTAAATTTAAAGTTGAAATTTAAGTTGGAGTCGCTGGCGGAATTAAGTTGATTTTGGTATGCGGTAGAATTAAGCTGCGCCTCTTAAGCTTAACTCGCCGTTTTCAATCTTATTCAATGCGTTTTTTATAGTCTCCTCAGTGTAAGGCTTCTCGTTTGTTTTATTTTTTGTCATTTTTAAGTTTAGAAAATTCAATTCAGTTTTAGATTTTTGAAATTGAAAAAACAATGCACTTTTGTGATTACTTTGTGTACTTTTGCACTCTAACTTCAACAGTATTAGTACAAAAGGACAAAACTAATTAACACAAAAGTGAAAACTTAAAAAAAACCAGATGAAAAAAATTCAGTCAATGTGAAAAAATAATAAAATAAATTAACTTTAACATAATAAAAAAAATCAATTAGAGTGAAAAAATAATAAACAAAAAAAAACAATAAACATAACCTATTAGTTTTTTATTTACTATAGGGTGGATTTATAGTGTCCGGTTTAAGGTGAAAACTAAAGAAAGTCTTTTTTCCGTCATAACTTTTTAACGGAGTAAGATTATATAATTTTAAAACTATTTTTGAAATCAGCAGAAAATTTCCAACAAAATAGTTTCCTTTGTCTTTTTAAATCTTTCATGCTAAGAACCTAATTTCCAGAAATAAAGTTTGATTTTTAGGGTTAGATTTTGTTTGAATTTAAATATCTTATTAAGCTAATAATCTGAATAATTTTTTTTTCAAATTTTATAATTTTCCACACACTAAAAATTAAAAAAAAATTTAAATTTTGAAAATATCTTTATTTTTAGTGAAGATGTTTCGTTTTTTCGATCAGTGTCCGCATTTGTGCTACCTAGCGTTTTGCTTAACTTAAAATTTAAAGGGATGTGTCGTGTTTAAGCTAATAGTTTGAGAATTAATTTATCATATAGTGTTACAAAGTACCTTTATTCTAAGCTAGTTTTTTTTAATATTTAAAATATAAATGTAGACCACACGGGTAAAACCACAGATGTCACATTTTTCCCATTTTGAGAAAAATGAAATTTAGTGTTTAGTGACATTAGATATCTGTTTATTAATAATTTATTTAATTAAAAGTATATTTTTCTGACATTTTAGTCCTTATACAATATAAAAACGCAGTTTTTGTGCTAAATACAAGTATTAATTATTCACAGTGTTCTTTTACAAACAAAAGACTCATTTTGGACATCTGTGGTTTTTCTGTTGTAAATTCATTAACTCATAAATTACGTAAGCTTGTAAACTTTTAGAGCACTTATTTTTTTAAAGTTCGATGGAATCAGCTTTTGATTACTGTTTCTGCCAGTTACTGTTTCATGTTTATTAAACTGAATAAGCCATGATATCTAAGAAAAATTATTATATTTAGATTTGTAACTTATAGAAAAACTATAATTCTTGTGTTTTACTTTATTTGCTAACCTCATTTTTTATTACGGAAAAAAAAAATGATTCAAATCTAAGAAGGAAATCAGGTTGTAGCAGGATATTTAAAAAGTATATATATTTTAGAAGAAATCAATTTTCTCCAGTATCATCAGTATGCAATATAAATAGTTTGACTTCTCATTGGAAATAACTAATTTTTTAAAATAATACAAAATCTAAAAGGTTGACGTCAATATCTTCAAAAAAAGTAACGCAATGCAGTATTAATAGTAACGTACAAATAATAATTCAAACGAATTATCTTCACCTTTTATATTTATTGACACAGAGATTTTAAAATCAGTTATTATTTTAATTGGACATTGTCCACAATGCCATAATAATTCAATTGAAATCTCAACTGATTTATCAAAAAAGAAAGGATAGGCTATTTTTTTTTTTTTTTTTTTTTTGTATAACACCATCTTGCAATTGGAATAAAGACATAAATGCGAAAGATACATTTATAGTGTTTAAATTCTAAAGCATAGTTAATAAACTGACAACTGAAATGGAAAGAAAAAATAAAGTTTACGAAGATGTGTCAGTACAGTTTTCATTCAGCAAAAACCTACAATTTAAGCAAAGAAGAGTATTTCAAAGGCTGTCATTTCTTAGTCAGTTTTTACCATGAAGATCTCAGCATGGACATCGTTGGAGAACTGCATCAGTTTCATAAGTACCTCAGCTCAAAGTTTCAGTGGAACAAAAGTGATTTTACTAATGCTGACCTATATGATGTTATTGTTCAAGATAAACTTTGTAGTGTTTTTTCAAACCTGGATAATGCACTTCGCATTTTCCTTACTTTTATGTTAACAAATGTTTCTACTAAGTGGTCCTTTTTACAGCTTAAGAGACTTAAAAACCCATGTAGAACAACAATGAAGCAGGAGAGATCTCTGTCGCTACTCTGCATTGAAGCAGATATGCTTACTTCAGTTACCATTAACAATGTAATCAACGATTTTGCACTTTCAAAGTCTAGGAAACGAAATGTCTGATTTATAAAAATTATAACAGTTGCTGGTAGTGTAGTAGTTTCGTAACTGTTTACATCATACTCATACATGTTGTTTACAACTTACATCTTCACAGTTACATAATATGTGATAGTGTGACGTATAGATTATAGCATGTGTACATAAAATTGTAATAAATATTAATGTTGCACAGCAACCTATACTTACCTGCTATTGATTGACTATTTTTGAGCACCATACTTGGTTAAGTGCTTAGGGCCCCTGAACATGTTAATCTGGCCCTGCTGAAATGATTTTTATTAAAACATTAAAAAAAGAATTATTCTAGGGATATGCTGCAAAGTTTTAACCATTAGTAATTGCAAATATTCAGCAAAAGGTTTAATAAAAATCGGTTATTAAGGTGGTAGACCACTCTTAAAAATCAAAAGAATCATTTTTTCAATTATAATTTTTTTAAGTAATATAGCTATCGTACATTATGAATTTCAAGTTCGATTTATGAAAAAAAATAGCTAACACCATTAAAAACTATTTTTTAAATAAGCGGTATAAGTAAATTTTATTTTATTTTTCCATAGCAATGCTTTGTTTATTCCGTTGCTATACAACTAAAAAGGAAATTGTATCATAATTATAGTATATATTTTTAATATAAAATACCGAATGTGGTGATTGCAACTCTAAAACTACTTATTGTTTATTGATTTATACTTTTGGTGCATTTAGCTATATGAGTTTTATTGAAATTTCCAACTATAGTTGCTGTTTTCTGTATCATTCTACATTTATCCTATCACTTTGATTAAATAATATTACTAATGGAAAGTAATGAAAAAAAAAAAAAAAAGAAATAAAACAAGACATAGAAAAATACTTATTTAAACTTTTTAAAGAAAACCAAAATCAATCAACAAACAATGCAGCTGAAGAAATTGTATCTAATTTGCATGAACTAAAACTTGAATGTAGCATAGCAAAAAAAAAATTTAAATGGACATGTGTACATCCAGATCCAGCTTAAATAATCTGTTTAACTTTTAAATAACAGTTTTGTAAATAAAAATAATAGTTCTTCTAATTACGATCAGTTCAATGTTACAAATGACTGTTACATATTAATGAACACCAACATATCAGATGGAATAATGGTTGCCATTGTTTGCTCTCAAAAACTACATGTATTTTTTTATACACACACACACACCCCTATCGCGCCGGCCTTGGGTATCGTCGGCAAACATGATGCTTATAAGATTCGAGGCCTTATTTAGATCGTTGACTTAGACTAAAAAGAGAAGTGGGCCAAGGATAGAACTCTGTGGGCTTTTTTTGGGCAACCACAACACCTTCAATGCATAAAAAATACTCATCTTCTTCATAATAGATTGTAGGCTGCATGTCAGCCACTTCTGACTTTCGCTTAACAATAGTTAAGCGAGAATTTATATAATTTACCAGTGCCATTAAAAGGCTGTCATCATCAATATCCTAAAAATTAATTTAAAAAATTATTAAACATGATTTTTTAATTCTCATTATTGAATAAAAAGTCTTAAAAAAAAAGTTTAACTTTAAACTGAGCAGGATATTATGATGACATACTTGTGGTGTCTTCAGCGCTTATCTGAGAAGATGTCCATTTGAAGCTAAAAAAGCTCTGCAAGTTGCAAGTTCATGATCAACATCCAGTTCAACCTCCTGATTCCAGAATTCCTCGCTATGAATGATGGCTGGAAAGCGTTTGACAATATCAGCAACTTTAGGGTAGTTTAAAGAAATCCATTCTTTTCGTTGTTTAAAGATATATATCATTCGCTTTTTGAGAAAACCAATATCTTGCTCGCTTTTCCTTATCTCAACCTGCATAGCAAGTTCATGAAATTGCTGGCTTAACTCATCTTTATATATATATATATATATATATATATATATATATATATATGTATATATATATATATATATATATATATATATATATATATATATATATATATATATATATATATATATATATATATATATATATATATATATATATATATAAAATATAGTATATTGTATAATCAATTGATTTTTTTATAACTTACTTGCAATGAAAAACTTTTTTTGAAGGCGATAAGCTCCTTCTAAAGTTCTTGAACTTATTAAGACACTTTAGACACTTAGACACCATCTTCATTAATGTCTGTGAGGTTAGGATACTCTAAAAGCATTTTATTTACAAAAAGATTTTAATTTATATTATTTCTTATAAAAAAATAACAAAACAATTTGAGGTAAATTTATGTTTAGTATCTTAATTTTAAGGAAAATATCAAATCAATAAAAATTGGAATTAATATTAATACTAACAGTGTGGTTTTGCAAATTGATAAAAAGCAGATCTACAATCTGCAATCTCGTAGAGGATGTAAAATTGACAAGTTGATCTCCAAGTAATTGAGGCGGAAAAACAGGAGGCACCAAGATAAGCCTCTTTCGATATACACTCAGATTTGATGTTTTCTTTAAAAACTGTGTCGAAGGAATATGGGTTGAAGCCAATGGCAGTGAAGATGCTGCGTTGCTTATATTTCCAGCTTCAATTACACTACAAAAAAAAAACATGTATTTTTTGAACTAACTTTAAAAAAAACAGTATTACTAAACTAACATAAAAATCAAATATGTATGGAGTAATTATTGTATGAAGGAAAAGAAATTGACCTAAACAGCAATTTTAATCAGGTTAATCAAAAAAAAAAATCTTTTATATAATAATAATAATTGCAATAATCATATACACTGCGATTATTGATGAAATCAATTATAAAACACAATAACTGAAGATGTTGTGATTCAGGAAAAATTTTATTTTTTAACTTTATTAGCTTATATATCAAAAAGTTTATATAAAATTAATATTTTTTCTGGGTTCTAGCACATTTCAAAATGCCTGTCATTAAATAAAACTGACTTAAACTAATAGAAGTGACCATCTAATTAAATAGAAGTGAGCATTACTAACCTGTCATCAAATAGAAGTGACATATAAGACTGTGTCCTGGATGTACAAGCTTCACTGAAAAAGATAGTAAACAATACAGAAAAACAAAAAATATGAATTACAACACAAATTAAAAAATACAGGTTAAACACAATACAAGCTAAAATCAAATTAAAAAACAATAAGTCAGCAACTTTTGAATCACTAAATCATTACAATTTATACAAACAAGTTTATTTATATAACACAGTAAAAATATTTTGGCACAACTATATCACGTTTTTGAATCAAGTATATTGGCAATGGATGATGATGATTTTGTAACAGTCAATGACATGTAAGTCATTGACTGTTACAAAAATGTATTTAGGCAATTTAATTATGTGAAAAGCTTGAATGTGTTCATCATATTCAACGGTAGAGCATAGCTGACACTGTAAAAAAATTGTTGAACTGCATTTGTAGATAGCTATAATGTTAGCAAACTCCTGAGGCTTAAGAAAACAGTCACTAATTTGGTACAAAACAGTATTATAACTTGCAGACTTTGCAGAAATTGTTTTAGTGATGTTAGGCCAGTGTGTTTTAAAGGCTTTCTTGGCAACGAAAGGAAGAGGAAACACATCAGTTTCCTTAGTTCCTTTAAGAATAATTTTATCTTTAAAAAAATTATTTCTAGTTCGATCATAAGCTGCCCTTATTTAAAACTTGCATGCCATTGTGTATTGGATATTTTTAAAGTTCTTTGAGTTTGATGCAAACTGCTTGTGCACCTGATGAACTCCTTCAAAACGCAAACAAGAAGCCGCACTGAGGAGTACATGCTGTTCAAGAAGATGAGGGTAATGCATTGTGTAATGCTGTTTTGGTGATACAGAACTATTAGGAAAATTTTCCACCACTGTTGCTAAATGTCTTTCACATATTTCTTTGAACTTTAGTAAGCGTTCTATATCAAATGACAAGTGCAAAACTAATATCTACTAACTGGCGCAAAAGCTTCCATGTACTCCAGACTGGATAATTTTTTGGGCAAGTAATTAGAAAAGAGAACACCAAATAATATCACAAAACACCATATTTGAATTGCTTTGCCCTTAATTTCTTTTTTCAATACAGGCCCAGGTTTATTTGGCTTATCTGCACCTTTGAATTGAAATGTATTGATCAAGGTATTGATCTGCTTCCAAGTTATGAACCTGCTTTCAACAGCACAATTTAATATTAACTTCATCTCTTTTAGGCAACATCCTTTAAGTAGATCATGCATAATATCAGGAGGAAGAGATAGAATAGGGTGAAAATTCTTGATATTGTGAAGTGGTGAACTCCCAACAACGCCATAAGTAGAAATCAAAGAAGCATCTTCCTGAACCTTTTCTACAATTGCATTATGGTTGCAAACAGCTCGTAAAATGCAATTTTTGAAAACAATTAATGTTCTCAATCTAGGTTTAGTTATCATACAGTAACGAAATGGTCTAGAAGAATTAAAACCACGTGTAAACCCACCAATGAGATGTGATCCTAAGTTATCTCCTAGAAAACTAACAAAACATACAGAGTAGTGTATATCATACACACCATTTGATTGTAAATCATTTAGGTCATTTATAAATACTTTAAGAATAGCAGGAATTCTGCAATGTGTTTGAATTAGAGCCAAAATCATCTGAATATAATACAATTCCTATACTCTCTGGATGATTTGCAAAAAAAATATTCTGTTGAAGTAACTTTCCATGTACAAAAACATCATGAATTTTTGGAGGATTTCTTATTGAATTTGTATTCTTTTCTGCAGATAACTCTAACTGTTCAATTATATTAGCTGAAGACAAATATTTTATAAGATTTTCTTTGATCGAACATAAATATAGTTTTTTCTGAATTTGCTAGAAAAATTTTTTCAGGATTAATATAAGAAAACTTGTTCTTTAACAAGGATTCATACTTCGAATTAAATGAACATGTTACAATAGATGAAGCCATGATCTGATTGAAATCATTTATCATACATAGGTCTGATAAAATATCATTGAAAGTGCTTTCTGGAGCTAATTTCCTTGAAGTATATTTCAGCTTCAAATCACAAAGGAGCTTTTTAAGAGAAAGTTGTAAAACAAAACTTTCTAATTCCATAGTTTGACCTTCATTTGCATTGATAGTAAAAACTTCTTGCAAAAGTGGATCACATATGTTCCTAAATAGTGCATTAGTCAAATTAATTTTATGCTTTCTTGAAGAATGTGATGTAAATGAGCTGTAACACGTAAATTGCTGGTAACAAACATGGCATTTGTATTTTTGCATAGGATGGAAGTGATAGATGTGACCACGGAGTTTCTCCTCATTTATGCATTTGAAAAAGCAGTATAGACAGTAGTGCATTGGTAGATCACAAAAAAAATGTAAATAATTAATTCTTTTATTATTAGCAGTAAAAGTCAAATATCTGTTTAAACTAAATATAATTTAATAAACAAAACTATAACTTTTTGAAAAAATGACTACTAGAGATGGTAATCTTAAAGATTACTTAATTTGATATTTAAAATAGAAAACATAAGTAAAAAAATGAAATAACTTTTTTTACCTGTTTAAATTTAAACAGTATATAACTGCTAAAAAATTAAACAATTAAGAAAGATATTTTATGATTTCTTTATTCTTTTATTAATTTCATATTACTTTCTTAAACTAATTTGGTAAATCATGAAAAGTTTCAAAATTAAAAAATTTTGTTATCATACAATGCTTTTAATCACTTGTTGTCATACAATGCTTTCATATTTTTATTAAAGCAATACTTACTTCAGGTGTTGATCTTCTAGCAATATGGGAGAAGTGATGTGATCATAATATGATTCAGGAAATATTTGATCTTGGACAACACGTGGAACAATTTCTAAAAATTGAAGTAAAAAATAATGTTAATTAATAACACAAACACATCATTTCCTGCCATTTAATTCTTGGTAAAGATTATATTGTAAAAGTAATTTAGCAGTAAAAAAAACAACTTATAATTTAGGTATATTAAATGTAAAGATACTTTTAAATATTTCAAATAACTTTTGTAAATTCATTCAAGTATTTGTTACTAACAATATTACTAACTTAATTTTAAGAACAAACTTTGATCCAGAAAATTGTGATCAACAGATTGATATATTATTATCTAACTAAATATGTGGTAATACTTGTTGGTATTTAGTATATGTTAAAAATTTGAAAAATTTTGACAAATATATATATTTACACTTTTTTACAAGTAAAAGTTTGTATATATTATAAAAACAATCATTTTTAATATCACAAAAGTGTGATACTAAAAATATAAACTACTAAATATAAACTCAATGAGCGTAAATCTTTTTTTCATTCACAATTGAATAGGTATAAAAAACTAACCATCTAAAGAACTACACAAAATAAGCTGTGTATTTTAATCTAGCTAATGTAGCATCTCATCATCATCAATTATCATGCGCTCTCTTGTACATACATAAATTGAATTTTTGTTCAATATAAAATCTTTCTTTTCTTCTTTTTTGAAAAAAACTGTATGGGTTAAGGTGAGCAAAAAAAGCGAGCAAATTTTTTTTTTTTTTTTTTTTAATTATCTTCGCTTCCAACAAGGTTGCAAGCAACCACTTATTAGTGTTAGAAGTTACTGGAAGAGAAAAGATGAAGATTGTATAGCAAGATAACGATTGATAGACGACTTAAAATATTGCAAATTATATGAATCAGGAAAGCAAGATGAAGGAAGCGAATTCCAAAGAACTGATGTTCGCGGAAAAAAACTAGACGAATAAGAGTTTTTGGAGCACTTAGGAACAGTAACAGAAAAAGGATGAGACTTAATTGAATGACGAGTAACACGAGAATGAATTTTAGTAGATGGCACAAGAGACGCTAGCTCTTTAGAGCAGTGCCCATTATAGTATTTGTAGAAAAGAGAAAGAGAAGCAACATTACGACAATGTGACAGAGGTTGAAGGTTGGCTGCAAGAGCAGGTCCAACTATGTTTACAATGCGTTTTTGCACCTTGTCTAAAAGAGAAAGGGCATCATTAGAAGATCCGCCCCAGATATGGCAACAGTATTCCATACAAGGCCGGATTTGAGATTTATAGAGATAGAGAATAGAATCCAGAGGAAGAAAGTGACGAGCTCGATAAAGAGAAGCAACTTTAGCAGATGCTAATTTTGCAACAGATTTGATATAAGGTTTCCAAGAAAGATCAGAAGTAAGAGTTAATCCTAGAAGATGAAGGGTAGGAGACTCATCGAGTACATTACTGTTCATAAATATAGGAAGGTCTAAATTATTTTCAATGCTTATAAAAACAGGCTTTAGTAAGTGTGTGTGTATATATATATATATATATATATATATATATATATATATATATATATATATATGTATATATATATATATATATATATATATATATATATATATATATGTATATATATATATATATATATATATATATATATATATATATATATATATATATATATATATATATATATGTATATATGTATAAATATATATATATATAAATATATATATATATATATATATATATATATATATATATATATATATATATATATATATATATATATATATATATACATATATATATATATATTTAATTTGACTTATATTAATATTAATAAAATAAAAAAAATATTACAAATAAAAATAGTATAAACAAAAGTATATATATTAAAATTTAGTATAATGCAATACAACAAATAAACACTTTTTTAACTTGGTGAAAATTACGTATAAGTAGTTGGCAGGTAGCTGAAAAAGTGTTTAATAACCTTAAATAATTTGAGCTAATTCAACATTTTTTAAGCTGTGCCAACTATTTATATTACATAATTTGCTATATATAAATATATATATATATATATATATATATATATATATATATATATATATATATATATATGTATGCTTCCGAAACTAAAGCAACTTTAAAAAATTAACTCAAAACCTTGCTAATAGTACATGTCTATAAGATTTATTTCTTCAAAATTAGATTAATATCAATAATCAATAGCATACCCTTTGTTTTTTATAACTTTTCTACAATGACATGGCATTGATTCAATCAATGTATGAATTTGTAATTTATTTACTTTTTAATTTCTAATTATTTTCGAATTGCTTCCAAAGGTTTCAATGGGTTCGAGGTCTGGTGAATTAGTTGGCCATTTCATTAAACTGATTTGGTTAGTATTAAACCAGGTTTTAACAAGTTTAGAAGCATGTTTAGGGTCATTGTTGTGCTTTTGCCATCGTAAAGGCATATTATCATCAGCAAACTATAAACATCAAAACCATTTTTTTCTCCAAAATATCTTTATATACGAAACGGTCTATAATGCCGTTGATTTGAAACAATGGTCCCAAACCGGAAAAACCCGAAAAACATCACCAACCATCACTCCTTTACCACCACCATGTTTAAAAACAGCTCTTGTATACTTTAAGTTTATTCGCTTGCACTTTGGGCATCTTTCGTTTTTTTTTTCCATCTGAATGATGCAGGTTAAATTTCGACTCATTACTCCATAAAATGTGACTCCATTGTTCTACTGTCCATTTTTTATGAGCATGAGCAAATTCTAATCTAGCTTTTCTATTTTTTTCTGAAATAAACGGTGTTTTTGCAGCTCTGTAACTAAATAGTCCTGCTATATCAAGACGTCTTCTTACAGTATTTTCTACAACTTTTTGTTCTAATTCATTAATTACACCTCGAGCAGTAGCAAAAGGATGCTTTTTCACAAATCTCATTAATCTAGGATCAGTAATTTTTGATGTTTTGGGGGCACAACCCCCGTTGTGCTTTGTTTTGACAAGCCTCTGACTTTGTTTCTGCTGATCCATCGGTTGATCACCAATTTTTCTACATTATATTTGACAGATAGTTCATGTCGTTGAACTCCATCTCTAAAATCAGCAATTACTTTTTGTTTAAATAAGGTACTATATTTTACTATATTTCTTGCCATTATTTAATCCTAAAAGGTTAGAATTATATTTCAAAGTTTATTGCTACAACAAAATGATATTTTAATAATAAAGTTGTACTTTCAAAACAAAATAACTAATAAAAAAAAAAAAGAAGTTTATCTACTTAAAGTGATTTACTGAAATTAAATATATTTTTGTGGTTAATTTATTGTTTACTTTGGTTTTATTTTTAAAGTTGCTTTTATTTTGAAGTTTAAATTTTTTAAATTACTAAGACTGGTATTTTGCACACAATTTACTATACTTTTTTTTGTGTTAAATATAAAATTATTTTAAGAATTTGTTTTAATTGTATTAATAAGTATGATTTTGCAAAGTTAAATGAAAAAATAACATAATTTGTATCTATAAATAAAAATTTTTCAATTTAGTCAAGTTGTTTCCAAAGCAGTTGCTTAAGAAACAACTTAACTAAGAAAAAGTAGTTGGCAGGTAGCTAAAAAAGTGTTACTTACTTTTTTTGGAAATCACTGTATATATGTATATATATATATATGTGTATGTATATATATATATATATGTGTATATATATATATATATATATATATATATATATATATATATATATATATATATATATATATATATATATATATCTATATATATCTATATATATATATATATATATATATATATATATATATATATATATATATATATATATATATATATATATATATATATATATATATATATATATATATATATATATATATATATATATATTTATAGCAAGTTACGTATTATAAGTAGTTGGCATTTAGCTAAAAAAGTGTTCAATTAGCTCTTATTATTCGAGGTGATTAAACACTTTTTTAGCTACGTGCCAACTAAAATATCATTGGGTATAAAAGTCTTATTACCAGAACAAAATATTAAACACTAATATGCGTTTAACACCGTTTATTCATTGGTTTATATTAGTGTAAATTGTTTCCAGGGTTGGAATAAGAAGATATAAAACACCTAATAGGTGTAAAATTACACCGTTTGGGTATAAATATAACCTTGAACAGTGTTTTTTGAAATTTATTTAAGAAAAAAGTGTAAATTTACACCGTTTTGATGTAGTTATACGCCATAAAGGTTAATTTTTAATAAAATGGTGTAAAATAACACCTTTTTTTAATCACTTCACTGTTTTAAAAAGGTATAAAAGTCAAATGTTGTGATTTTTCTTTTACACCTATTAATAAAAACGGTGTAAAACGCTGTAAAACAGCTTAACACCATTTTGTACTATTTTTTTAAAAGGTGTAAAGGTTTATCACAACATTTGATTTTTATACCTTTTTAAAATGGTGTAGTGATTAAAAAAAGGTGTTATTTTACACCGTTTTATCAAAAATTAACTTTTAATGTGTATAATTACATCAAAACGGTGTAAATTTACTTTTTGTTAAAAAAAGTTTCAAAAAACACCCTTTGAGGTTATATTAACACCAAAACGGTATAATTTTACAACTTTTTATTAAGAGTGTACAAATATTGCCATGGTCAATGCTCAAACAAGCTATCATCTCTATTACAATAAATCAAAACTCATTCATGCCTGGCTTTTTATGCAACAAGTTCCATCCTTTTACTGTATCTGTCCCTTTATCCTATAAAAACTTTTATTTATCCAGTTTTTTTTCTTTGCACATAAAAAAAACTTAATAACTCTTACCCATCTTCATATTTTCCTTTTTTATACAACCTATAACTTTTAAAGTCTTCAGTTCACCATTTCCTTATATTTTAACTTATTCTCTATTTAAAAGTATTTCAAACCTGAATATTGTTTGAAGTAAACTAGAGTTTAAAAATATGTAAATATATGTCAGTATTTAATAAATAGTAAATGTTAGCATAAAATTATAATGTATAAATTGTTATAAATTTTTTTCAACCCCCGACTATTAATCCTTGCTAAATCTTATAATTTAGCTAGGGCCAAGTTTCCAAAAAGTCTCATTTTTAGCTGGGGATGGGGACTGGACCCCGGTTACTTCTTATTTTCTAGTTTATATATTTACCTCTTTATTAAAAAACATTTTTAAACTAAAATTTTATCAAAATGGTGCTCGGTGATCAGTTTGTCGTCTTCTCGCTCTAGCTATTTATTTTATTGCATATGTATGTACATGAAAAGGTGAAATAAACAATTAAAAAAGAAATATTGCAGAAAAAGATTCTAGTGGTACATTAAGCACAAATATTGGACATTTGAACAATGGGTCAAAGTTATTTGGAGCGATAATTCTTATGCCTTAAATTATAATGATCAATTTTACTGTTCAAGTTCTTTAGCCGGTTGGGCTTCTTTGCTAAATGACTTATCCCAAAGACTTGTAGACATACTTTTAAGATGCAATGAAGTCATAAAGACAAAGGATAGCCAAATAAGTACGAAAATCCTTTCAAAATCTAAACTTTTTATAATTTTATGTAATATGTATTAATTTCATACATATTTCATAAAAGTTGTTGTATATTACCTATATTATATATGGATAAGACATTTAAAGTTTTTTTTTTTTAATTGAAACGGGAGCGAAATAATTTTTTTAATCTTTAACAATTAAGTCATACAATAGTTTAATACTATTGGAATTATATATATGTATATTTTTTTAAGTATTGGGACAAACAAGTATTATGATTGTAAACCTATATATATATATGCAATATTTATATTATATTATGTTTCTTATATTTCTTTTTAGATATTTGAACCTTTGCAGAAATATTTAGTTAAAGAATATAAGATAAAAGCAAGTTACATAACTATGGTCTTTCTTCTAATAATACTGCTCAATAATGCTTGCATATACATATGCTGTTGTTTGGAAAAGAAAAGTCCCATACTCACAAAATAATTTCAAACTACTGGGTCTTATTGATTATACAGATTATTAAAAAGAGATCCAAAACTTACTTTTTGTACTCCTCAAACAACAAGGTAAGCTCGGTTGACATATTTTAATCAACATGATACTAATTTATAATATAATACTAATTAAAAGTGACTGGTTCAAACATTTGGAATATTGATTAGACAAAAATTTCATTTGCCAATAAAAACACCAGGAAAATAACAACCACTTCTTACAATATGATAAAAATTTCTGAAAATGTAGCCAATGGCTACATCAAACTCTGGATAAAATTATAGGTTGGTGGATAATTTTACTGGTGCAATGATTTATGGCAGTTAAAATTTTATTTAAATTTGGTTTAAATTTGGTTAGTTTATTGTTACCGTAAAATTGGGTGGCTTTGGCCCTACGGGATGACTTTAGCCCAACAGAAATGTTTGTTTAAAAATGGTTTAAAATCGATACCTTAAGGTATGTCGGTTGATTGTTAGTAGCAAATTGTGGGAAATTTATTTTTTATTTAGTTATTTTTATTTAGTTATTTTTAACTTAGTTTACTTAACTCGAGTCTTTGTGATATTAATGTAAATTGCACTTTAGAAGAAGCACCTAAAATCTGAATTTTTTTAGGTGTGTAAACTTTTACATCGATAGCAGTACCTGTTGAAGGTTTTTTATTGGAATATACACTAAATTAATTTTAAACCATTAGTGTTTGATTCTATCTTGTTTTGAAAGCTTAACAGTTTATTACTTTTTTGTAATTGAGGTTAAAAAAAAATAGATTGTCTTTGGCCCACTACATAGGGTGACATTGGCCCGGGCTAAAGTCACACCATGTATTAGAGTAAACATTTTTTAGTGATCATTTATAGATGTTATGGTAGTTACTATGTTGGAATGAAAAATTTTGTAGTAGTAATGCAATAGAAAATCAGTATAACAGTTTGTATTAGTAAATCAGTATAAAATTATAGTGAAATTTGTTTAGTTCTAAGTTTAAATATGCCACAAAATTACAAGCCAAATCGTGGAAGAAGAAAATATGTTACTTATAATTTAGAACAGTTAGACAATGCATTAAAAGATTTAAAGAATGGTTTAATTACTCAAAGACAAGCAGCTTTAAAATACGAAATTCCAAGATCAACATTAAAAAATAAAATAAAACAGACATATCCTAAAAAGTATGGTGGTCAGCAAATATTTACATCAAATAAAGAAGAAATGTTTAAGGCATATGCAATAAAATCATCTGAGTTTGGTTTTATTGTTGATAAATATGGTTTAAGATGCATAGTAAAAGGGTATTTAGAAAAAAAAGGCGTCATTATACCTCAGTTCAAAAATAATTTTTGAGGTGGTGATTGGATTCGATCTTTTTTAAAAAGAAATCCATAACTCACAGTAAGATTTGCAAGCAACATAAAGCGAAAGAGAGCAGAAATAGGAACGACTGTGATTGATAACTTCTTTATAAATCTATCAAATGAAATAAGTATGATATCACCTGATAATATATGGAACCATGATGAAACCAGTCTCAGTGATGATCCAGGTAAAAAAAAATATTAACAAAGCGTGGATGTAAGTATTTTGAACGCATCATTAATTCTACAAAGACCTCATTCTCTGTAATGTTTTGCGGTAATGCTAATGGTGAATTGCTACCACCTTATGTTGTTTACAAAGCTGAGTCGTTGTGGAAAACATGGATGGAACATGGGCCACCAAAAGCACGTTATAACAGATCAAAAAGTGGTTGGTTTGACTCAACATGTTTTGAGGACTGGTTTTTCTCTTTACCTCTTCCAAGACTTAAGAAGGCAAAGAAAAAGTCTCATTATAGGTGATAACGTATCTTCACATTTGAGCATTGCAGTACTGGATGCATGTCAAAGCAAAAACATAGGATTTGTGGCATTACCAGCAAACTCTACACATCTCACGCAGTTATTAGATGTTGCCTACTTTAGACCTATGAAGATTAACTGGCGCAAAATATTATGTGAATGGAAGGTAAAAGGAAAAGGATGGAGAGTTGCTTCTTTTCCTAAAGATGAATTTCCTAGACTTTTAGACCGTTTAATTAACATGAACATGTTATTTATTGAACATATTGAACATATTATTTATGTAATTAACATGAACATGTTTAATTAACATGAACATGTAATGAACATGGGAATGATAACCTTAGAGCTGGTTTTCGCAAGACTGGAATTTTTCCATTAGACAAGTCTCAAGTGCTTTCACGACTACCATGTTGTAATGTAGGTTTAGACTCAACTACTGATTTAGTAAGCCAATCATTTTTAGATCATTTATGTAAGTCACTAGATGATCCCTCAGATGGTTCTAAAAAACCAAAGCGACGTAAAGTATGTGCTGTCCGAGGTAAAAGCTTATGTTCAACAGATATATCATTGTGTGTTATAAATGAAAGTAATAGATTAAATTCAAATAATGTAGATACACCTATCAGTATTATAAATACAATTGAGACCAACAACATTGATTTTGCTGACCCAAGTACAAATACTGGAACTACTGAGACTTCTAATCTAATTTTTGCAGATGTAAGTTTAGTTGTAGAAAGTCATACAAAATCTTTAGATCATTCAGCATTAGGCAAAAAGAACTTTCAAAATATTGGTAAAACAAAAAATGTTTGTAAAAAGAAGAAATTATTAAATCTTGTAGAGAATTGTTATGTAATTGTTAAATGCAATGGAGAGTTAAATCCTGGACAGGTTTGTTTATTTATTTTGATTTATTTATATTTAGCTAATCAATTAGTAAATTTTATAACTAATTGATTTAATAACTAATATTATTTAATGAAACTACTGAAAAATTTTAAAAAAACTTTCTAAATTTTTTTTTCTTCAGTTGAAAAAATTAAGAAAAAATGGAGCAGAAATTACTATTATGAAAAAAAAATGGGCTTAACTGGAAATGGTCACTACCAGCAGAGCAACTTTTTTTTCCCCAGTCTGAAATAGTCGATTTTATTGATGAACCAAAGAAAATTTCGAAATGAGGAATTTATTTAGTTCCAGAACTTTTTTACTAAATTTTTTAAAACATTATTTTTTTCATTTTTGTTTACTTTGTACCTAAACTGTTTTGTTTACTTGGTACCTATACTTGTTTAGTTTGTACCTATATTTTATTTACTGTACACAAGAACTTTGTTACTAAATTTTTTTTTTTCACTTTATTTTTGTCAATTTATTTTCTTTGCCTAAATATTGCTGTTTTTATTGTAGTTTTGCTTCCTTTAGTTCCTTTTTACAGGGTTCGGCCAAAGTCACCCTAACACATAGGGCGACTTTCACCCACCATTTAAACCACCCAAAAGATACTTCAGGTAAATAATTTTCAAATGGGAGACAGATAGTTCTAATTTTCCTTTCTATGCGCTTCTAAAATTACTTAGTGTTTGAGGTAATAACTTTTGTGGCTTTCATACAATAGACATTAAGATGCAAAATGGGCCAAAGCCACCCAATCTTACGGTATATATTATAGCTTAAAATGTTTTTGATTACTGTGATATTTGGTCACCATTTTTAAAATAAGGGTTACAGTAGTGTTCAACTATGTGATAACAATGATTTTTGTTAAAATTGTTTTATTGCTGGTATTGCCATTTGCATTCTATAGGCTGAAATATTAGTTTAATATTAAGAGCGTTTGATTTGACTTTACCATAGTTTTAATATCTCAGCAGTTCTTAAGATATAAATTACTGCCAAAATGCATAAACATACATAAAACTTGTTGAGGAGATTTTGTAAGGACACCAACATTGAAAATAAAAAGTATCGCTTCTCTTATAACAGAAAAGTTGTGTGAAAACCAAATACTTTTTTTAAATATTGATTCCGTTACAATACCTCCTGTTTTCAGCTAAAAAACTTTCTGTTTTAATATTTTTAACCATGATACAGCATAAAGACCATTAAACCATGGTTTATTGGTCTTAAAGCTAAATGTTTAATAGTCTTAAAGCTCTTTTAAAGCTTCAGTAGAAAAAAAATTTAAATAAACTTCATAATTATTCTTTTATAAGGATGTGTGTTTAACTATTTTTTTTTTTCCACACCCAAGTTAGAATTATTTTTCCAAAATAATTAGAGGCTAAAAAAAAATTACGTCTTTAAATTTTTATTTTTAAAAGCAAAATAGTTGCATATAATTATTATATGCAACTATTTTTCTATTAAAAAGAGAAATTTTAATATAATACTAATTAAAAGTGACTGTTTTAAACATTTGGAATACAATGTACTTTTTGTAATTTTCATTTTGTCTGATCGTGCTATTGCTTGTAGAGGCTTTTACCATATTGGTTAGGTAACATCAGCTGAAAAAGGAGCATTAAACTTAAAAATTTGCATTATAAGGGTACCTTAATGTGTAAGCTATCACTCCACATAAATGGCGTTTTTGAGTCAGCTTGGTTGGTATTATCAGGATTCATAATAACCGTGTAAATTGTATTTATCTTTCTATTTTAGGATCAAAATTATTTTTGCTGCTGGTTTACTACAGAAATGTTTATGAGATCATGAAGAAAATAAGCATAGCACATGTTGATAAAACAGAGCATTTGAGATTTCGACAATCATGTAAAAACGGTAAAAAAAAAAAAAATTAAAAATGTATGTATTAATTTTTTTTGAAAATTTTATCAGTTAAAGAAATTAAATACCACTTATAATCGGTTACATTGTTAACCATGTAACTTCACGGTTTGCTTATTTATTTATTTTTAATAATATACACTTTCAAATGATAAAAAAAAAACTGGATGCTTGTACAGTTTAACAAGGTTAATTTTGCAAATAATCAATACTACAAAATTTATACTATGTTGTATAATTTTTTCATCTTTTACATGATAATAATACGGTGGTTAGTTATATAGTTTAAATTTTTAGTTTAAATATATGCATATTATTTGTAATCAAAATAAACCATTTACGTTTATTGAAGTTATAAAATAAACAAGTGGATTTATAACACATTTATTAAAAATACAAGTGCACTTATAACGCAAGTATTAAAAATACACGTGCATTTATAACACAAGTATTATCGCTTTGTTTTTTAAAACCAAAATTCATTTCAGCAAACTTTTGCTTCTTTTCTTTCCAACTGCGCCACGGCTGTACTTTGTTGTTTTTTATTTCAACCCAGCCGGGACAACTCAGAAAATAGTTACGCCTGGTTTCTGTTGCGTTTTTAAAACCTTCTAAATCAAAAAAAAAAAGCACTTGTTAAAAATGGTTTTATTCCGTGAAATTAACTATTACTATTTACCATAAATACCAGTTAAAATATTAATGGTTTCACCGTTATGGAAACGTAGTATTTTATTATAATAACTTTCCGTAAGGAATGTGAAACCACTGATAAAAGCATGCGACATTTAAATTTACGCATTAATTCCATTTTCGGTCGTATGGAGTTATTTATACCACTATTTAGTATTTTTAATTCTCTATCGTTTGATATACAACACAAATTCAATAAATTAATTATTAATGAGTTATTAAGATTTTTTTTGAAGTCTGATTTTGTCAATTCAGACTTCGTGCTCGGTCCACTTCTTTTTATTTTAAATATAAACGATCTGCCGGACTATATTACTCATCACATAAAGATGTGATGTAAAGATGCCGACAATTGAAAAATAATCAGAGTACTAAAATCTGAGGAGGACAAAAGAACATTGCAAACCGACATAGATAATCTTGTAGATTGGTCGCATAAATGGAATATGCCTTTCAACTGCGATAAGTGTAAAGTCATGCACGTTGGGCGTGGTTGCTCTAAATCTACTCAAACTTATTCGATGCTTGATTTGAATGGAAACAGAATTCAACTGGACGTCACTAAACACAAACATAATCTGGGAGTACTTCTATCAGACGATCTTAAATTAAGCTATCAAGTCGAATCAGTAGCAGCAAGAACCAACAATAAACTTAGTAGACTTAAGAAAATTTTTAGAAGTCGTGGACTCTTTTTGTGGAAGGTACTCTACAAAACATATATAAGACCCCAGTTAGAATTTGCTATCCAGGCTTGGTCACCACACAATGAAAAAGACATTGCTATTCTAGAACAAATACAGCATAAAGCAACTAAAACAATATCGGAAATAAAGCATTTGTCATATGAAGAAAGACTTTTTGATCTCGGCTTAACTACTCTTAAAGAAAGGAGATTTCAAGGTGATCTGATTCAACAGTTTAAAATTTCAAAAGGTATTGATCAAATTATTTTGATAACTTTCAAGTCTACGCACCATCGATTTACAAATATAATTTACGTGGACATTATCTTCGACAAAGGGTAAAAAACTGTCAAGAAATATTTAATTTCTTCACCAATCGCATCGTGAATGTTTGGAATACGCTACCTTTAAACGCCATAAGAGCTAAATCAGTCAACTCGTTCAAGGTTAGTGTTCATAAACTGAAATTCGTAATAGACGAATGATCGGACACACGAGTGTCTTCTTTCCACATGGAAGTGCCAAGTGTAGCACTTCCTCATCAAAATATGTATTATATAATTGATTTCTGAAATAAATAAACTCAAACTCAAAATACTTGACAACCAATAGCAACAGAGTTTTTTTCAACAAGGCTGCAACCTTGTTATATAGCAATATATATATATATATATATATATATATATATATATATATATATATATATATATATATATATATATATATATATATATATATATATATATATATATATATATATATGTAGAGAAAAAAATCAGTTTTAAGAAAATGGTTAACAAATGTCATATTTTATTAAAAGTTTAACCTTTTTTTGTTATAACGGTTAAATAGTCAGCAGATGAACGCTAGGATCAAAATCTATATAGATTGTTAGAAAGTAAAGCGTTCCTCTCAAAATTAAAATATTACTATTCTAAGAACTTGCTTCTAAACTTCTAGAACTATTCTAAGAACTGATTCCAAGAACTTGCTAATAAAATTAAGAAGATTAATCGATAAACGAAATTAAACGATAAGAATTCAACGCAATCTTCAGAGTTTTTCAAGAACTTAAACTATTTTCAGCAGACAAGATTTTACGAAGCTAGATTTAGTTGAGCACTTGTAAAATAATTTAAAGAGCAATAAAGAAAATGTTCTGGAGAACACATTTGTAAAACAGTGACAGAAATGTTGTCCGGACAACAAGCTGTAGAAGAATAAAATTGAGAAATATATTCAGCCGTGAAATTAACTATTACTATTTATCATTAATACAATTAAAATGTTTATGGTTTCACCGTTATGGAAACGTAGTATTATATTCTAATAACATTGCGTAAGGAATGCGAAACCTCTGATAAAAACATGCGACATTTAAATTTGAAGATTACAGGCAGTTTTACTCGAGTATTACAAGAAGCGAATTTGAGTCAAGATCGACTTGAACTTTACATTGCAACCAATAGCAACATAGTATGGGTTTTCCCCTCAAAAAATACTCTGCCGCTATTGGTTACAAAGTAAAGTTCAAGTCGAACTTGACTCAAGTTTGCTTCTTGCATTCCACCCTTTAACTCGAGTAAAACTGCCTGTAATATACACGTGTATTTGGTTTTACGCCTGGATCGTGACAAACATGTGTCTATATAGGTTTTAATTCCGAAAAAGAAACTAAATGTACCTGTAGGGTAAAAGTTTTTCAATAAGTATAGTGAAACCGGGTCAAACCGCACGCTATTCAATAAAAATTATGTAATTTTTTTTTTTAATTTTTAATTTTTCTTTTGTTTTTATTAGATAGGTAATAAAAAGTATATATGGAAATAAAAATTTATATTAAAAAAATAATAATAAAATTATCGATAATAATAAATGCATAGAAAGAAAATGCACGGTTTTAGGCGACATTCTGATTAACATTCTGATCCACACACTTAAAAAAACATTGAATTTTTATAAGTTTAATTCTTTTTTATTATTATGTTTAACACAACTATTTAAGAAACTATATAGAAATTTTTACATTCTTTGCAACAAAAAAATTCAGTTCCTACTACGTATTTTTTTGGTAAATATGTTTTTTTACATAAACCTTCCCGACACATTGAACTCTCACATTGCAACATTTCTGTGTGTAATTGTACTCTACACTTCGTACATTTTGCTTCCTTTGTTGCTTTTTCTTCGGTATATACATTTTCCGCCTAGTATTATCATGTTGCACTGCTTCGATATCTTAACATGCGATTGTTTTCTGGCTTGAAAAAATTGCTTCAGCTCCATCTTGATACTTTTTTGCAACGCGTGACACATGCTTGATACCTATTAAAACTCGAAGCTGGCGTTGTTGTGAAAGATAGTAATTGGTGCGTAGTTGGAGTAGGTACTGCAGCGGCTATTGAAGATAATGAAGTTGTGTCTGAGCAAGTGTGATGCTAAAGTGCGGAAGCTGCTAAAGTTGATGAAAGTGGATTAAACGTTTGTGTGATGAACTTAGTCCACAATCTTGAATTTTAAAATAATTTAATTAAATCTGATGACAGGAATAGTGTCGCAAAATTTTGATTGTCGCAAAGTTTTATTGTCGCAAATTTGATTGTCGAAAATGTAAAAAAGGAATAGTGTCGCAAATTGTCGCATTATTGATTGTTGAATAACAGAGTAAGGAATAATGTCGCAAATGAATTTAATTAATAGTTTTGAAAACAAAAACAAAAAAAGGAATAATGTCGAAAGGAGTTTAATGAATAGTGTCGAAAAAAAAGAATAGTGTCGCAAATAAATTTATTGAATAGTGTTGAAAATAGAACAAAAATAAAAAAATAAAAATAACTATAAATGCGTGTTTAGATAACATGTTTGATGTCATTCTGAAATAGCCTGCTGCCAACGACTTCAGTACATACACCAACTATCTTATAACTTGTTGCCGCAAAGGAGCGCCGCTACAAGACTGAGGGTTTGTGGTTTGGTAGCAATCTGTTCTTTCATTATTCTTTGTTTTTTTCTGTTCTTTTCTGTAAAAGCCGTATGCTATAAAGATAAGCAAAACAAGTAAGCACTTGCTGAAATTAATTATTTGTGACACTATTCCGATTTTACAATTTGCAACACTTTTTTTTTGTTTTTGACACTATTTATTAAATTCATTTGCGACACTATTCCTTTTTTTGTTTTCGACACTATTCATTAAATGCATTTGCGACACTGTTCCTTTTTTTTTGCGACATTAGGCCTTTTTAATATATTCGACTTATTCGCAAGTTCATTTGTCGACACTATTCCTGTCACCCATTAAATCTACAAAGTCTTTCTATGGCTATTAAATTTATAAATATAACTGTATTAAACTTTTATTTACTTTCAAAATATCGTTTTAAGTTTAAACAAAATTAAGTTTTTTTCTATAACTATGAGATTTTTTCTCTTTATTTAAAAACTTACCTTATCATTATGTTGTATTTTACATATACAGGTACACATACGTACCGCAAAAACACTATAAAAAGCACATCTGAACTTTTTTATTATTTGCTTTTGAGAAAAACTGTTTTGAATGTGTTTAGAGTTGCTTAAAATCAGTTCTTCCCAGCTAGTTTGATTAATTTTTAAGAAATAGTTTTGTTATGAACTGAACTTTTGTTGTTTTTTGTATGTATACCCCAAAAACCGCATTCAATTTATCGATTGTATCACTGCAGCTAGTGAACCCATGAAGCTGAAA